ATAATCCCACTGAATTATCAGCTGTTGACAATAAGAACAGAACAAATTAAATCAAACTGCTCTCCTAAATAATATTTTATGTTTTTATAAATTATTTTGTGAAATAATGATTGAAAAGCAGATTAGATTTTATGATAATAATTTTCATTAAATTTAAATTTTAGGTTTTTGAAAATTATAATGATTATAACATATTATGCATGTTATTGTTATTTATATTTTTCATGTGTGTAAACAGGTCAGAATAAAGGATTTGTGTCAGTTTAGACCGTGCTGTGTCCAGGGTCGGGCATTATTGTATTGTGTGCAATAAATCAGTGGAAAAACATTAATCGATTATTTTTTGGCAGTTGACAATTAATAGGATTAATGACACCATGCAGAGTCTGCTCGGTGCTCCTCTCCACTTCAAATATGACAAACATTTTAAAAAATGTTCTGTAATTTATCAACACAATTATCAACACAATTTAAATTTGATGTACAGCCTTAAGTCTTTAATTTTGACACAATTTGATACAGATTTTTACAAAGAGCAAGTCTTTCTTACTAACTTGGTCGACGTGTGATCAGGACATAAGGCTGTCCAGGAACTCCAGGGGATTAATTGTCAAATTATTTGTTATTGACTAAATACCACAATTAATCGTGATAAATTTTTTTGCTAATATTGCCCAATCCTGTTTCACAGCGAGTACAAAACCTACATTTTTACTAACACAATCAATATAAAATGAAAGATTTAAAAAGGGAGGTCTAAGGAATGAAATGCATGCAGTTATTTTGCAGGAAAAATGGGATTAAATGGGTTCGTTTAAAGCCTGCAGCAGGCAGGAAATAATAAATAAATAAAACAGCGGGCTTGCCTGTTTTAAAGGAACGCTCCAGTAAATACACGCATCCATTTAGCTGTTAGCTTAGCTAGCCTTCTAGTCTTGTTACCGGCTCCGACCGGTGTAACTTTGTGCGTCTTTCTTGACTTCCGGTTCCATTTCTTATTTCGAGTTTTACCTAAACGAGATTTTAATTTGCTAATCCCGATAGTTTCAGGTGAGTTTGGGTACATACCGCCTGTGTGCAGCTTTAGTTCAGGTTTCCAGCAGAGATCCAGCAGTCTGCGCTGACGCTCCATCTCTTCTTCGTACCGCAGGATGGTTTTTTCAAACTCGGAGAAGATTTCTGCAGCAGCAGCTGTCAGCCTCCCGCAAATAAACTCTCTCAGATGAGGAACTGAAGACATCGTTGCTGAAAACCAGTTAAACATTCAAGCAATCAAATTAAAATCGCCATCTTTTAATATACGTCACTTCCGGTGTTTGATCAATGCTCACAGCGCCACCAAGCGGCGYGGAGAGGATGTTTCCCAAATAAAAATACAAACAGAGTTGTAAAGTAACTAAGTACAAATACTTTGTTACTGTACTTAAGTAGAAATTTTGGTTATCTGTGATTTTCTTGAGTAATTATTTTTCAGTGTACTTTTTACTTCTACTCATTACATTTTTACACAATTATCTGTACTTTCTACTTCTTACATTTTTAAAAAAGACAAGAAGTAGAAAGTTGTTAATCCTGTTTAATTCCAGGTTGTTACTATTTAAAAATACTATCCTGATAAATTGTGTCTCCTGGATAGAGTGAATTTAATTGTGGTTGGATGAGAAGTATAAATATGAAGCATTCTGACACCATATAACCCATCATGTCTGCACACCTTTAGAAAAATGATTTTTGGAAAAGTCACCAACTAATAAATGTCATTTTGGGAAAATCTAACCGCTTATTTTTACTTTTAATACTTAAGTAGATTTTGTGTCAGAAATTTTCTTATGATACTTAAGTACAAAAAATATCAGATACTTTAAGACTTTTACTCAAGTAATATTTTTAGAGAAGACTTTAACGTTTACCAAAGTACTTTTATGATAATTGTACTTTTACTCAAGTATCACTTTGAGGTACTTTATACAACACTGCTAACCTGTTTGTCCATGTGGAGGCAGTGCTTATAAGGCTGAGTTCAGCTGAAACTCATCAGACTGAAGAAGTCT